GTTTCCTTTGTATTAAGATAACTATCTAAATGTATTTTTTAAACTATTTTTTCCCCATGGAAGCATTATTATATTGTAATATTCATCTCTTAAATCAGAAGCCTGGGGGGGTCTGCGTGATGATGAACATGCAGTTCATCCGTTCATTTTTTTCTGTCTATTTAGCCCTTATGGTCTGTTAGTGTGTTTTGGCCTTTCACCATCTTCAGTTGTGGGTCTGTTGGTTATTTTTACTTGCTTTTTTGTTCTGGATAACTATCTTAATGAATTTTTTGTACTATATTTTTTCCCAATTGCTACATAGGATTTCTGATCAGTTTTGTCTGACTATTTAACTTTTTTTGTCGTTTTGACCTCTCGCCATCTATCTTCAGCTGTGGATCTATTGGTTTTAGCTAGTTTTCTTTGTATTAATCTAAATGTATTTTTTTACATTCACTAGTTTTCGTGGTCCGCTTGACCAATTAATATCATTCAATTAATTAAGGTTTTTAGTTGAAATAAAAAAGTCAGCGTCACGAGCGGGATTCGCACCCACGACCTTCGGCTTGATACGCCGCTACTCTATCACCTGAGCTATCGTGACTTCAAGTTGTACACTGAATTGAATGGACACTGACTTTTTTATCTCAACTAAAAACCTTACTTAATTGAATGGCATTTTACATTATTTTTTCCCCATTATTATATTGTAATTTTCTTCTTTTAAATGAAGCCTTGGAGCTTGGTGATGAAAAGTTTAGTCGTTTTGATCGTATTTGTCTGCCTATTTAGCTTTTTGGGTCTATTAGCCGCGTTTTGACCTCTCGCCATCTTCAGTAGTCTGTTGGTTATTATTTGTTTTTTGTTATCGGATAACTATCTACGTTTTTTTTATACAATATTTTTTTTCACATGGAGACATTATTATAATGTAATAAATATTTATATATTAAATCAGCTCCTTGGAGTATGCGTGGTGATGAACCAGTAGTTTAGTCATTTCTGATCATTTTTGTCTGCATATTTAACTTTTTTGGTCTGTTTGTCGCGTTTTGACCACTCGCCATCTTCAGTGGTCTGTTCTTTATTGTTTATTTTTTGTTTTAGGATAACTATCTATGATTTTTTTTTGTACAATATTTTTTTTCACATGGAGGCATTATTATAATGTAATAAATATTTATGTACTGAATCAGCTCCATGGAGTATGCGTGGTGATGATCCAGTAGTTTAGTCATTTCTGATCATTTTTGTCTGCATATTTAACTTTTTTTGGTCTGTTAGCCGCGGTTTGACCTCTCGCAATCTTCAGTAGTCTGTTGGTTATTATTTGTTTTTTGTGATCGGATAACTATCTATGATTTTTTTGTACAATATTTTTTTCACATGGAAAATGTATTAAATGTATGTGTAATGTAATAAATTTATCTATTAAGTCAGACTCCATTGGGTCTGCGGAATGATGGGCCTATAGTTAAGTTTACGATCATTTTCATTATCATCATCACCAACCTACATGTTGCCTTTGCAAACTCTTTAAGTTCACATCATCTTGAGTAAATGTCAAAGGAAAAAATGTAATCTCCAATTATTCATTTTGACTTGGTCGAGTCGTTGTCATTTTGTGATGTTTCAATCGAAGAATGCAATTGCTAATAACAATTTATTCATTACGAATGGCACATTTTGTTGGGATCGATCAAGGTTTGCTCCTTATAGATTGATTTGTTTTACTAGGAACAATAAAGCAGATACCGTGATAAGATTTATGATGGATGGATTGGCATGAATAACTGGAATTCATGCAGTTTTAACCTGTGATCTAATGCAATATGGAAATTGGTACGTCGTTTCTTTCTCGATGTGCAGATTCAACAGTCCAATTTTAAGTATCGTAGGATTTTCGGGGAAAACGAATAAATTGGTAACGTTCGATAAATTACGAAGTTTGAACTTTTATAAATTACGATTCTTTAGTCTAGGATTTAATTTTACGCGTTTACTCTCGTCTCTATTTTAAATGTCGACGGTAAGGTGTTGTTGAACATGTGACTCGGTGACGTAATGTGAAACACTTAAACACATGTAGAGGAAGGCGAGTGTATACACACTTCACTCAAGTATCACACTCAAGGAGCTTCGATCTACTTAAGTCATATTTCCTTTTTCTTATTTCTTTTTGATAAAGGCATAAATTTAACACAGGTGTGATAAGTCGCGTATGTGATAAAAGATCGTTAAAATTTCACGACCGCCATCAGGTGATGGGGACCCCTGCACCTGGGGATCGCACGCACTCGGCTCAATTGAAGTCGAGAATTATTGCGCACTTTTAGCGCAGACGTACCGAAATAATTCTACGTGCGATGGAGATTTATCGGGAGAGGCGGCAGGTGGATGTATCCAACGTGATGGCATCTTGTTTACAACGGAATACCCTACTCAGGATGTTTACCAAACAATACAAAACCGGCGACCTCTTTTTCCTGCCATAATTCCTCCCATCGCTCTTGACGAATGCCCCTTTGAAAGTGTGTCCAGGGAATCCTATCAATTATACATGGCGGTAACGCCTTGTGTACCTATGGTTCTTGCAGGTTAAAAATACACCGGCTCTCAGATAGCGTATACATTTCATCTCGACTGTTTGGAAACGAAACACATTTGTTAACTAAAAATATCGGAATGAGAAGGAAATTACTTCTTAACCCAACTGGGGCAGCGGATAACGGGGAAAATTACATAAATCATTACCTACGTATTCTTATTTGATTGCAATCAATCGATTTGATTTCATTTTTTAATCTAAAATACTGTTTTCTGAATCTTGTCGCCTCTGGATCGTACAGTACAGAATTCGCCCATCTTAACTTACTAATCAATATTTATCTAACCCCCTGACATATAGGTCCGCAGTTAGGAAATGATCCTTTTTTCCCCCTTAAAACAGCTTAAACAAAATTTTGAAAGTTTATCTTCTACGTTTCCGAATGTTTACGTACGTTCTGTTTTACATGCTACGTTTTCATCAGACAATTTGTCCGAATGTTTTACATTAGCATACTTTCCAATTGATTACAAATAAAAATATTTAATATCGAAAACAAGGGTGCGTCGGTGGCCGGAACGGTTTAGGGGTTGACAAGGCGCTCATTACTGTAAAAAGGTAAAGGTCCCGGGTTCGAATCCAGCGGCCCTGCATTCGAGCCAACTCGACATACTTACAAATTGGCTTTTTCAAAAACACCGGCACCCCCGGGGGTTGATTTGACCTCTGCTGATGCGAACCCTCGTAAAAAAAATTATTTATATATATTCAAATACATAGCCCTGCCATAAGTTCTGTTACAAGAAAAAGGGCCATTAGGAAATAGAGTAACTTGATAATTTGAAAAAGAAATTTATTTTTAAAAATCTAATATTTTTTAAGATTGAAATAAAATAATATTACTCGAAATGACCACCTTTTGCCTTCACACAAGCTTTTAGTCTTCGGGGCCAATCATCTATGGCAGTACGCAACACGTCTTGAGGAAATTTCTCAACTGCTTTTAGCAGAGCGGACTTGAGGCTCTCTAAATTGGCGTGTTTCCTGTGGCAAGCCATAAGCTCAAGATGGGACCACACCTTGTAGTCCAGAGGATTCAAATCCCCACTTGGTGTGGAGGGGAGTTTGCTACGATGGCATCACAAAACTCCATTTTTGTGAGCAAGGAGTCAAAACAAGGGCGAAAAATTACCAAGAAGACATCCTTGAGAAAGTAGTAAAGCCCTTTAGTACTACTCTTTTTTCCGGAACTCATTGGGTCTTCCAACAGGACTCAGCTCCTGCGCACAAGGCCCGAACAACTCAGCAGTGGCTGGAGGAGAACGTTCCGGAATTCATTAAGGCTTCAGATTGGCCCTCGGGAAGCCCACATTTGAATCCTCTGGACTACAAGGTGTGGTCCCATCTTGAGCTTATGGCGTGCCACAGGAAACACACCAATTTAGAGAGCCTCAAGTCCGCACTGCTAAAAGCAGTTGAGAAATTTCCTCAAGACGTGTTGCGTATTGCCATAGATGATTGGCCCCGAAGGCTAAAAGCTTGTTTAAAAAGCTGGTCATTTCGAGGAATATTATTTTATTTCAATCTTAAAAAATATTGGATTTTTAAAAATAAATTTCTTTTTCAAATTATCAAGTTTCTCTATTCCCTAATGGCCCTTTTTTCTTGTAACAGAACTTATGGCAGGACTAGGTAGGCTTAGAAAAAAGTTTTCTTTATCGTGCCAATATTTCGACCTTTTTATTGGGATCATCTTTAGGGTCTAGTTTTGCCTGCATTACAACAAAAAGATTCTCTGATTGATTCAGATTTTGTTGAACTCCAGGCAAAACAAGGCCCTGAATATGGTCTCAATAAAGATCGAAACTTCAATTAATTAAGGTTTTTTTTAGTTGAGAAAAAAAGGTCAGTGTCACGAGCGGGATTCGAACCCACGACCTTCGGCTTGATACGCCGCTACTCTACCACTTGAGCTAACGTGACTTTGAAAAATGGCAAAAAGGAGGGAAAATTCAAAAGGTGGGGTTGAGATGGGAAGTTAGTGCCCGAGTGGATCGAAGAAGAATCCTGCTCGTGACACTGACTTTTTTTACCTCAACTAAAAAAAACCTTAATTAATTGAATGATATTAATTGGTTCACGAATAATGGTGAATTTAAAGATCGAAACGTTGGCACGATAAAGAAAATGTTATTGTAAAAGCTACGACACACCAGACCGCATCTCACGATCTCTAATTAATTAAAGGTCACAAAATACTACACATTTTTCATTGGGGTCAATAATTATTCGTCAATAATATAAATTATATGGTTTAATTTCTAACGAAATTTATTTCATAGTTATGTCCGATATTTTAATTGGAATTTGTAAAAAGAAATTTCATAATTGTATAAGACTACAAATTGGCTTTCTATATTGAGTATTAGTTCAAATAGTTAATAATTTTTTTTTAAAATTTTTATTTCAGTCTTGTAAGGTCTGCAATAAAACATTCGCCAACGTCTACAGACTGCAGAGGCATATGATCAGCCACGACGAAAGCGCAGTCCTTCGAAAGTTCAAGTGCCCCGAATGTGATAAAGCATTTAAGTTCAAACACCATTTGAAGGTAATACGATCTATTTGAAAACTTTCGATGAGTACCTGAGATATCTAATTTATTTATTGTCTTTTCCAGGAACACATAAGAATACACAGCGGGGAGAAACCGTTCGAATGCGGAAATTGCGGTAAAAGATTTTCACATTCCGGCTCGTATTCCAGCCACATGACTTCGAAGAAATGTCTGGTTATGAACCTGAAGGTTTCTCAACGTCAAGCCAGCCCAAGAGCTGTGGACATGAAACAGAACCAGCAGTTTAGAGGTCAAACCATTAAGCCACAGCGTACGAATAACAATAACAATTTCCCTCCGATTCTGCCCAAGTACGATACGTCAGCGTTTCTATCCAACTTCACCCCTCCCGGCCCTGGGAGTGTGCCGTTTTATTTAAATCCCAATTTTATGGCCCAATCCTCGCCTTACATTCCCAATTCGCTAAGTCACCTATTAGAACAGTTCCACCCGTTGAACAGAGAAGTGAAGAAAGAAGTGGAGGAAGATGCGAAAAACAATAAAGTCGTCGTCAAACAGGAAGTTGAAGAGGAAGTGAAAAGAAACGAGAGCTCTCCCGGCCCCGGCAATAACAGCGGCGATTTGGAAGCTGTCAAAAGAATTCTGGAAACTGTGAACGCCACCGTCACCAAGCAGCTTTTTGCAGCTAATATGCAAAAACTGTCCTCGAACTCTTGCAGCTCCGGCTGCCCGAGCGTCGCGAGCGGTGCTCCGTCTCCTCCCGTAGACGACACGGACAATTTGAACTGTCGTTTCTGCAACAAGTCCTTCGTTTCCAGAATCGACCTTCATCAGCACGAGCGGTACCTGTGCTCCGATGAAAAGAGCGAAGGGCTCGCTGCGAAGCTTGAAGACGTCATCAGCGTCAAGCAGGAAGACACCAACGGAAACATATGCAGCACTAGTGAGGACGAGACGAGAGGGTCTAACATGTTCACGGACGAAGAAATCGAAGTAGACCAGGATGGTAGAAAGGCGCGTGTACGGTCTCAAATCGCCGAGGAACAGCTCATGATCTTAAAAAGTCACTACTCCATCAACCCCCGGCCGAAACGGGAAGAACTAGCCAGAATCGCCGAGCGCGTCGGCTTTCCAGTGAGGGTGGTCCAAGTTTGGTTCCAGAACAACCGCGCGAGGGACAGGAGAGAAGGAAGATTGGTGCACGTCCCATACGCCCCAGTCTTCTCCAGCACCTTCCCTGGTTCCTCACCCCTTGGCGCCTCTGAGCAACCCCTTGATCTCTCTACAAAAAAGCCCGCTCCTGCGTATTCACCGTCAAGTTCACCACCACGTTCAGATTCTGAAGATGGAGCTGTCAACCTCTCAAGGAGACCTTTGATGGACTCAAGATTGGCGAGAATTCTGACTCAGTCCAATGGGGTGCCATACTATTCACAAGAGGAAAATGTAGCACCTGCATCACCTGTCCGCTACATCAGCATGTTGAATGGAGCACCATTAAGCCCTGCCCTTAAAAGAAATTGGAAGCAGGTGAGTTTTAACATTTTGTCACTAACAATTGCATTCAAGAAAAATTTAACTATATTATTAAGTGCGTTTCCTTCCTATTCAATCAGTTTTACCTTGTTTACAGGAGGAGTATGAAGGCAGTGAAAGCTCGTGGGTAGGAGATGGCTGCCGCAGAACCTTGGGGAAGAGATTGAAAAGCGAATCTGAGGCAAATGGTCAGTTCTGCTGCGACCAGTGTGACAAGACATTCGCAAAACACTCATCTCTCGCACGCCACAAGTACGAACACTCAGGTACCGGGTACAACCACACACCACAAAGTTTTTTTATTTTTTCCTTTTGTTTTTATTTCCAAAACGAACTGTCATACTTTTCATGTTTTCTTTGGTTTATTTTCTCTGTTTTACTTCCAATCGACATACAGTACAGTTTCAAAATATTATCAATTTTGAAAATAAATCAAACAAACTATTATGTTTTTGTTTTGAATAAGATAAATATATATAAAAAATTAATAACTTATGTGTTGATAACAGCAAAAACTGTAAGAAATATTTATTTTTTATTATTAAGCCAGGAAGTTTTTTCTTATGTTTGTGTACTCTTTACCTCACTGTAACACTTGTTTTAGTATTTCTCAGATTTGTAATTTAATTTAAAATTACTGTCTTGAAATGAGAGTTGTTGGAAGGAATGCATATTTACTTAAACTGGAAGTCAAAGCATTTTTGTTTGCATGTTTTGTTTTTCACATAAATATTTTGGTTCTTTTGATTTTTGTTGTTGTTCTTTTTTTTTACTTTTGAGACAAAACATGACACGACACGAATCTACACAAGACATGTTTACATTACATACATATTCACACAAATCAGATAAAAACACTTGACAATATAAAATAAATTGTATGTGATAGATTTTTGTATAGATTTAAACTCCATGAATGGACAGTCTTTTACAAAATTTCTTTCAGCTAGATTGTTTTTAAAAATCAATTGAATTGTTAGATTTTTTCTCTGAGCTAAGATTGTTTATCTCTGATTAAATAAAAAAGTGTAATTATAAATATTTAAAATTTGAAGTTGTGTACATGAATTAATTTAAGATTTTTGTAGGACAGAGGCCCCACAAGTGTGATGAATGTGCCAAGGCGTTTAAGCACAAGCACCATCTCACCGAGCACAAGCGGCTCCATAGCGGTGAAAAACCATTTCAATGCATAAAATGCCTGAAGAGATTCTCACACTCTGGTTCCTTCAGCCAGCATATGAATCACCGATATTCTTACTGCAAGCCGTACAGAGAGTTTTAAATCGACAGTAATAATATTGTGCAATCCCACTAGAAAATAACACAAAGACTCTGGTTTTAGTTATTTACTTGGAGGCGAGAAGAGAAAAAATTCAACCTGTGTTAATTTCGTTGTTATTCACATAGAATTTGAATCCATTTTCCAGATCTTCCATTATAAATATCTACTGTTCACACACGTAACGATTATTAATATGAAAAATCCTACAATATTTCTGGGTAACCTATTATGTGCAATGACATTAATTTTTTTTTTTAATTTTTGTGTGCAATGACTGCAGTACCTGTAAATTAGTTGTCAGCTCGATTGGCTACGATACAGATACCTGTATGAACCGTATATATTATTTTTTATTTTGGAATAAAAAGAAAAAGGTTGTCACTGTATGCTTAAAAATTGGGATATGACGAAATTTGACCTCAGGGTATAAACACTTTAATAAATGACCTTCCCATTTTCGTATTGATTTGAAGTGTAAAAGTAAAACTTTGAATAAATGTACAACTTATTTTCCTAAGTAATCAAAGTCTTCCATAGAGCTGTCTTATCCAGATTACTTTAGGAGTTGTGAATTTTAATATAATCTTCAACTAGAGCTAACTGTACATAACGAATTGGTATGTTTGTAGCTTTATAAATCTAGAAACTGATTATATTTATTTTTACTATGTTCTGTCCCAATTTAAGCATTTTTGTAAATTGAGTACCGTTTGACTTCAAAATTCAAACTTTTATTTGTTTTTTAACGTGAAAAAAAATCCTTTCTCCAAGTGTCAAATGATTATTTACGATTGTAAATCCGCTAAGACAATATATCTGTAATCTATAAATTTATTGATGAAAGACTATATATATTTTGTTCCCCAAGTTTAATATTTCTAGTCATTGATGAAAATTAACTTTGATGGGTTCTATTGATTCAGATTTTATTTATTATCGAATGTTAAAATGTCTTAATATTTTATCCAGCGTTGCCCTGTATAAAATACTGTTTATAAAAAATGTATAATTTGAATGATAATTAAAAATTAAGTACTTGAAGCCATTCCATATGGTTATAGTTAATGTAGAGATTAAAAAAAAAGCATTTTGAAAAAAAAATATATATAAGTAGTTAATGGTGCATGTAAAAAAATATATTATTGTGAACAACTGTGTTTTATAATGATGACAATAATTACAAATTATATTTTACAACAATATTACAAACGATACCAAAAAGAAAAAAAAACTATTGTCAATAAGTTTTATGTCTAACTTAAAAAAACTTTTAAGGATATTTAAAAGATAGCGTCATTTATTAGAAAACCCATTTGCGTTCATTTCATTTAGCTAAAATAGTTTTTCACTGTGAGATCGTGACTTGTAAATAGTAATATATTCCTAATGTGACTTGTAAATAAGATAATTATTCCATTCCTTATATTAATAAAAATTATAACTTGTAATTTAATGTGTTTTTAAAATTTTATTTAAAAAAAATGTAAGGAGTCATTACACTCCTATGTGAATTCAATGTGCCAAGTTAAAACTAAGAAAGATATTGCCAATTGTTTGAATGCGCTTCCCAAAAATAAATATATATATAAATACAAATAAATATATATTTAAAATATTATCTTCCCTCCTTTTTTTAATTGGAACTATGATAGAATAACATAAATATATTATTTCTACAATGTGTTGAATTATCTATATTCTATAAGGTGATGCCTAATTTACTTGCTGAATGTGGATGTAACGATATTATAAATATAATATAGGTTTACAACAACGAAATGGTATATATATAAATCTTATGAGGATGATATATGATTTATATCTATTTTCTGTTATTAATGGTAATCATTGTTGTTAGGAGAGTTGTTTTATTTACTTTATTTTATTATAGATATATTTTTAATTTAAACGCAAAGCACTTTTTGCAGCGTGATTTTTTTTAAAATAATTATATTAAAAAAATTGTAAATTCCTTTCTATATTTTATATATATTTATAATATACATTTTATTTTGAAAATTGATTTTCAACATAGCTAGTTTGGCCAAAGATTGTGTATTATAGAGAAATTTATTTTAGTAGTTTTCTTTCCTTTATTTTTTTGTGTATTATTTTATTTCAAAGTTTATTATGTCATACATTAGGCTGAAAAATTGTCTTTGGAAAACTTATTCAAGCACACACATGATAGTGTAAGAGGCTTAAATTTTATATTAAAAAAAAATATATATATATACCACGAATTATTATCATTGCTTAAAAAAAAGTGAAATTAATATAATGTTTATTTCATTTTGTAAATTTCAATTTAACCTTGTAAGAAATAAATTTATGATGATCTATATATATTTAACACAGTTTTGTTTTTAAATCCTCGTTCAGCCCTAGATTTTCTTTTTAAACAACTTTCCTTATTAGATTCACTAATTTCGTGGTCCGCTTGACCAATTGATACATTACAATTTGTAACAAACAAATGGAAAGGAACGAGAAGGAGGCAATGGACTTTGGAACCTGTCGGAGGCAAAAGTGCAGGAAGGCTAAAAGGCGGAGTACAGAGGACATTCCACTGGAAGACATCGAAGAATCCACATCGTACGTAGCTGCTTCAACTGGGCTTGTAAAAAAAACATCTGATGAGAAGATTTCAAGAAAACGGCATTCATCTTGTGAGTTCTTTTCCTATTCCTCATTTCCTTAATTTTATTTCCTTGGGGATTGCGCATAGAGTAACAGGAATTCATTTATTTTAGTTTAAATACGTCTCAATTATATTTTAAGTTTTTTTTATATTATTTCAAGGTGAATTGATTTTATTTTTTTGTATTAATTTAAGTTTAAAAGATTTTTAAAAAAGTGTGAATTTAATTTTGAAAAAATAGAAACAATTAAGTTGAATTAAATTGGTTTTCCCTTACAGTGCCTTTTATTTTTAAATTCTTCCCATTATTGAAATAATTGTAAAAATAAAAATTTTACAATTATTTTTGATTAATCAAAATTGTATATTAATCTCTATGTAAAAAATACCCTTAAAGTCTAACAAATTAATTAAGGTTTTTAGTTGAGATGAAGAAAAGTTAATGGCACGAGCGGGATTCGAACCCACGATCTTCGGCTTGATACGTCGCTGCTCTACCACTTGAGCTATAGTGACCTCGATCCACTGCTATTTTTCATCTCAACTAAAAACCTTAATTAATTGTAATGTATCAATTGGTCAAGCGGACCATGAAATTAGTGAATTAAATGAAGTACACTTCACTAACGCTCTCCGAGGCCATTTTATTTGTCGTCGAGAATCCAATCCGATTACACGACATTTGAAAAATGGCAAAAAGGAGAGAAAACTCATAAGGTGGGGTTGAGATAGGAAGTTGATGTCCGAGTGGATCGAGGTCACGATAGCTCAAGTGGTAGAGGAGCGACGTATCTAGCCGAAGATCGTGGGTTCGAATCCCGCTCGTGCCATTAACTTTTTTCATCTCAACTAAAAACCATAATTAATTGTAATGTTTCCTTATTAGTTGATAATATGAATAATTTGATAATTCCATTAATTTAAATACTTTTAAATTATACACTGAGAGTCAAAAAATGTGGGCACCCTTAATTTTTAATTATCTCTTAGACAATTCTCCATTAAAAATTTAGTTAAAATTTTAATAAGATAATCTTACAACAATATTTGATTCATTTGAAAGGATTTGAGGTAAATAAAACACACAGATAAAATGACCCGCTTGTGTTTATAAATAAATCTTTGAATAGTCAATTTCTTTTTTTGTTGTTTTGCTGTAAAGCTTCTTTCTAATGTTCCGGTGTTTCAATATTTTTTAAGTTGTACCATTTTTACATTTCAAATTTGAGTGGTGATTTTAAGTGATACAGATTTAGCTGGAATCATAGCATTGGAAAATGGAAGAAGCATATGTGGTGGTGCTTTACATGCCCAGAACCAATGTCTTCCAAGATGCTTGATGTTATTCAAGAAACATGGATCAGGTCACCATGGTGTTACATCTCAATTTGTAATTGACATTCTACCGTTGTCAAGGTCAAGCAACTACTTCGACAAGTTAGAAATATTAACATCTGTTTACGCACTGCAAGGTGAAGACTTTCAGAAGCTGGATGACGTGCTAGAAACTGGTCCAGAACTTCTGAGAAGGAACAGAACAGCTCGGTTAAATTTTGCGAGAAATCACATCGATTGGTCTGAGTAAGATTGAATTAAAATTTTGTTTTTAGATAAGTCAAAGTTTTGTTTTGGGGACATCGATGACTGCAACTGGTTTAGACGTTGACACGGCGCTCATCACTGGTAAGATAAAGGCCTGTGTTAGAATGCAGGGCCGCTGGATTACTTTTGATTGCAACATACTTACAAAAGTTTAGTTTTTCAAGAACGCCGGCACCTGGAGGGTTTAAAAAAAAATTTAGAGATGAACAGGAGAGTGATATATCTATGCAACATTTTCCCTCCAGAGAAGGATTTGGGAAGGCATTTCTATGGAAGGTCTCACAGACTTGATCTTTATCTAGGGTTCCCCAATAGTGTGATATATTGAAGACAGTTTTATTTTTATGCGTGACAACTGGAAGGCCCCACATCCTTGGTGACTACTTGGAACGGGCTTCAATTCTATGTTTGGAGTGGCCAGCATGTAGTTCCGACTTAAATCCTTTTGAACTGACGATAGAAAATATGCAGGGATTAAGATGGCGCTTGTAGAGGAGTATGAAAATATTCCACAGCACTACATTCAAAACTGTATAAAATGATGCATCGCCGAATACAAGCAGTTATCGGTACAAGAGGAGAAAATATTTCTCACTGAATTGAATGTTCATCATTCCTATAGCAATATTTTTGTAAAATTGTTTTACTCAATTTAATTTTTTATTTAGCGATATCTTACGTTTTTCTTTAAAAATATCTAGTAAATACAAAGTATAAAAATGATAAAGAGACAAATATTTAATTTATTTACTTAGAGAGGGTGGCCCTTTTTTTGCCTCAGTGTATTTTATTTATAAAATATCGACAATGATGACAAACTCAGGATCCTCAGAAGCCCAAAAACTGACCAGTCAAACTCATTACGGAATTACATCTCGGCTTTTGATGCTGAAATGCATGCCATCAATGCTTGGGTCTTAGATGCCAAAACAATCATAATTATTCAGTGAATTTATCCAAAATCTTCAAAATCTGGGGAAACCCAACTGTCTTGGGTAAGTAAACAAAAAGCAGACTCACTGACCAGAGGAGTATCTGCAATGCAAGATTTTATAGTCCATGGGGCATTGGTAGCAACCGTTTAGTTGTTGACATGGCATTCATCACTGTAAGGTAAAGCTCCCGAGTCCGAATCCAACTCGACATACTTACAAATGGGCTTTTTTTCAAAAACTCTGAGGGTTCACATAACCTCATAGTTGAAATACCCTTGTTTAAAAAAAAAATATATATATATTCACTTTGAAGCTGTTCTTGAGGAAACAAAAACAAAGATACTCCATCACAGAATGGATCCATAAAAGACAAAAGGAGAGACGTATAAATTCTAGGGGCGCTAGACACAATATTTACACTCTTATGCTAAAACATCCCTCACCAAGACTGACAAACTGCTACAGTTAGAGAGGATTAAACTCAGAGTGATAGTACTATACCGGTTTCTGGCATCTGAGAAAAAAATCCACACATGGGTGTATTCAATGATGACCACATTTGTAGGTTATGCAATGAGGAGGAAGAAACAGCCACCTATATCATCTGCGAATTTGAAGTGACCACTCAATAGAGACATAACTTGGGACAAAGAAAACCCAGTGAAAGGAATTGTAGCAACGACAATCAATGCCCTAGTACACCTTAGAAGAAGAAAAGTTGGCAGACAACTAAAAAACTAGGAATGTACAATAAGACAGAAGGTAGTAGTGCTACTGTCCGGGGCCACAATGTTTAGGCGTTGATATGGTGCTCATCACTGTAAAATAAAGGTCCCGAATCCGAATCCTAGTAATCCAAATTTCTAGTATCCATATGTATCATCATCATCCATCAAGGAATGTAATAAACGGATAATTTAACAATGCTTATTGTACAAAGTAATCAATCTTTCTATAAACTACAATTAAATAAGGTTTTTAGTTGAGATGAAAAAAAGTTAATGGCACGAGCGGGATTCGAACCCACGATCTTCGGCTAGATACGTCGCTGCTCTACCACTTGAGCTATCGTGACCTCGATCCACTTGGACATCAACTTCCTATCTCAACCCCACCTTATGAGTTTCCCTCCTTTTTGCCATTTTTCATCTCAACTAAAAACCTTAATTAATTGTAATGTATTAATTGGTCAAACGGACCACGAAATTCATGAATTTCTATAAACATGAATTATTATTCAGAAATCGTGAGATGCGGTCTGGTGTGATGTAGGCTTCA